AATAATTTATTATGTAGAAACAGCGTAGAATTTTGGTCAATCAGCCAGTACATTTTTTTGTATTTCAATCAGAATTATTATTTTCTTTTCTTCTTTACATAAAAGCTTAGAGTAATACTCAAATATTTTGCAGTATTTGAATACGGAATTTGATTATTTATATTTATTGGACAATACCCAAATATTTTGCTGTATTTGAATATGGAATTTGATTATTTATATTTATAGGAATATTTATTTTCAACGTTTTTGTTAGTAAAGTTTACATAATATATGAAGTTTGTTTCTTCACTTGCTTGTCCAGCCATATTAGTCCAGGCTAATAAGGATTTTCTCGTGACACTCAATAATCCAGGTAGCTGACAACTTTTTTAGTTATTGTAGACCTATAAGAAGAAAACCTATCTGTTTCCTGCGTAAAGTTCGGAGCCGTTTTTTAATGATTAACAATTAATGCAAAAAACGCGATTCTTTCGATTTTTGCACTCTATTATTTATTTATTTATTTTTACGCACAATAGGCCGTTAAGGCCTAAAGCATTTTTTTTACAACATAATTCTAATATTAACTAATTACAATTATTTTAAACAAAACTTTAACGTAAATATGTATATATAACATTCTTAACTACTCTGAAGGACCTGGTGTACAATATTTTTCCATTCGCTTCTATTTTGTGCTTTTTTTTCCATTCCCTCACCTTCACGTGTTTAAGGTCTTCCTCCGCTTTACTAATCCACCTCGTTCTGGGTCTACCTCTTCTTTTGGGGTCGATTAATTTTCTGGTTATTACTAGTTTAGGAATTCTGTTTGCTGCCATCTACAATTCGTCTGTACTTTTCTAAAGATACTGAATTTTTGTTTTCTTCAATGCACTTTTGTTTATACAAGTTGTGCATAATTGTTACATTTAAGTTCTGGCTAAATATTGGTGTTCTGACTTCTTCCTTGCATAGTATAATTCCATTCTTGGGAACGATAAAATGTGATCTCATGAATTTTCATTTATAGGGTTTACTTTATTTGGTGGATCTTTTTTCCCTCGTAGGTCAGATAGAATTCCACTAGAGTTAACCTTCTTAAGAGCCCCTCTTATAAGTGACTGAAATATTTAAAGTATCAAGAAAAAATTCTCTACACACATCAAATCTGCCATTTTCAGTGGAAAAAATGTATTTTTAGGTGTAAGATCTTCGTGACTCCACTGCTTTTGTCACTTTTCTTGATTTTGGTTGCACAGCAACATGTTTTATAAGAAACTGTTCTAATAGGGATGGCAATTTATGGAAACCATTATACTTGGATTTTTTTGCTCTCAGGCTCAGGTACATGAGTTGAACATTTAGGCTTGACTCAGCCAGAACATCTTGGTTATTTTAGGGGCCTTGCATTAATTAATTTTCCTTTTACGGTTGAATATTCGAGACCTTTTAGTCTATTGGATGCTTCCTCCTATCTTGTATAAACACCATTTTTTATACTTTTCGCTTTTTTGGCGATAAATGATTCTGATTTTGGGCTGGGTTACGGTTATCATTTATAGTAGGCCTATTACTAGGATCACTGCCTCTAGTCGGTAGTTCAAGAAACGTTTGTCATTTACTTCCTTTCCACACTGCAAAAATCCTAACAGGTAAACTGACAAATATGCCACTTTCGTTGTTTTAACGATATGTAATGGTTGTAATACAAATTTAGTAAAAGTGCGAATGTGGCACATTCGCTTTTTACCTATCGAATATTTATATTCAACTGTTTACCATTGTAAGTAATAAAGTAACTGCAGATTCGTTAAATTAAAAATAGTCAACAATGACGTAAATATTAGACCTGCACATTCGCTGTTTTACTGGAATATACATCTTGACAAGCCACAGCTATTTAGTGCATTAGCTCAGATACATCAATTTTACACATTCGCTATTTTACCAGTTTGGTCACGATCTGAATGATAGATTACTCGAAATGCATATTCGAAATATTTGGTCCCATGTTTTGAGCAAGATAAAATCCATTTATTCTTCTCAAAATATTCTTACTTGTAAGGATTAAAGATTATAAAGATTCTTATATAATTGGAATTAATTTGGTAGATTTTTAGAAAAAAAATCCCAAACATCGTAATTTAAAAAAAAAAAAAAACTGCAAATAACTACTCGAAAAGGAAGCATTTTTCGAGAAATTACCAAGATAGAAAAAATATTTATTCTTATGAAATACACCTAAACAAATTCGGGAAATTATTTTTTTGTTAACAGTTAAGTATTTGTTAATAACAATTCTCGGCCCACTTGGATAATAAAAAAAAATAAATTTGAACTTGAAAAAAATATAAAATCGCATTAAAAAGGTTTGGTGTGGCAGAAATGCAAAAAAAATTAGTTGGTTTATGCTCTGCTTCTAAGTAGGGGTAAACTGCTTGGCTATAAGGTATTGTGTCATAAAGAGATATGATAAAACGATAATCAGTTTCATGAGGTGAAACATTTGTCTAATCTTCAATGTTACCTATTTCGTTGATATATTATTATGTTGGATATTTATTTCTATGCTATTTTTTGTTAGGCTTTATCAACTTCGCAGTTCGCACAATATTGCTCTGAAACCGTTTTTGTTGCGACATCTCATATTTTACCAAATGGCACTGTGCAAAAGCCAACTAAGAAAATTGTGAAAAAATATTTGTCTAATAGTTCCAAATTTCCCCATCCACATTATCAGGTCCTAGAGACTTCCCATCTTTAATTAATTTAATGCACATATGAACCTCTTTGTGTGTTATTTTTTGACTCTAGCAATTGTATATTTCAGTTAGTATTGTTGGTGTATCTTTGAATAGTTCTTGTGCTTATGTTTTCCATGTTAGTCTCAATAAAAATGTGATCTTGATTGTGTAGAATTTTTCAACTGATCTTATATTATTCACATCAAGAATAAACAATTAATTCCAATGCATGGCCTATAAACCCTGATAAGACATACATTTTATATGCTTTGATAAGCATTTATTTTGCTCATAGAAATTACATTCATTTTTTCTGTATTAATAACTTAACATTCTATTTGAATTTTACCTGGTCATAAACAAGCTAAAAACATAACAATGATCTCACTCAACACACCTAACCACTTTGTTGATTTCTGATAATTTAGTGTTTTGCAAATGAATCATATTGTCGTCATATATGTCATCATGATCATTTTAGAAATTTTTATGCAGTTACTTAAAATATTAATGAAAAAAAATTTTTTTGTTAATCATAAATTCAGTATTGTTTTTATAGAGTAGGTAGTTTGGAAAACATCTTGTGGGATATACATATTATTAGAGTAATTTAATAATTATATGTATTGTATGTTAATAGGGTATTATTAATTTATTAGAACAAAAAATTTATTATGTAAACCAATTATTCAATGACTATTAACTATCATGTTTCTGGAAAGAAGTAAATGCAGGCATAAAAATTAGATGTTAAGTTAACAATTATTATGATAACAGTTAACAGTTCTGGAGGAGTTATTTATAGTCTATTGTAATAATTTATTATGTACTTAATGGAATAATCAAGCTGAAAATAATTCCTTTCTTATTAAGTGTGGTAATTGCCTCTTTAATGATCACCTTTAACTTATATTTTTGTTGAACATGTTTTCCTCAGGTGAGTCATATTCTCTTTTTTTATTAGTGACTTTTTTTCTCCCACTGATCTATTTTCTATTATTTCTATCATGTTGATTATTTTCTATTATGTTGTTGTTGTATGTACATGTTGTTGTTCTAAAAACACTGGAAAAGCAATTTCTAATCATTTACTGAATCTCTATTGTTTACAATCCACTTTGATTAATGACTTTTTTGTTTCTTGTCAATTTTCTATTTATATTTATAGAGTTGAGACCACAGGCTTTTAGGTTGCCATTAGTATGTTTTTTAAATGTACTGGAATTTCTTTACATATTGATTTAACAGAAATATGTTGTGTTCTACAACAATTTAAACTTTAATTTCTTCATCTATGAAAAGAATGTACCTATTCATTTAATAGCAATAACTCAATTAGGGAGTCTAAATTATTTATTAATCATTCTAAATAGGTAAAAAACAGAAAAATCAGGAAAAAGCTTTTAAATTGTACTTGACTGTAATTGCACAACAGTTGTTTGATAATGTCTGTGCTGTTACTATAAGAGCATCTGGCAATATAAACATTACTTAAAAATTAATAGTAGATGCTAATGTTTCAATAATAGACTCATAAAAGCACTGAAGAATTGAAAAATATCTTCAAAATGCAAAATATTACGGAAAAATAAAAGGTATGGGTAAAAATTGTGAGTCAAAAATTGGTCAAAATTCACATACTTGGTAGTAGATATATACCTAGTAATTCCAGACAAAACTATGCAAAAGCAAAAATGTCTAACACCTCAATAACACATATTAGTGCATTTTAAATCTGTTGTGGACCCTGGATCAGGGATTCGATCTCAAGCTAAAGATAAAACACTTTTTTGAATAAGTATATTGTATTAAACCATTTCTGAAGAGCAAATGGAAACATAAAATAAAAAATATTCTTAATTACAATTATGGTTTATAATACAATATCGTTACAAAACAAGTTAGTATACTTAATATTGCTACAAGAAAATAGTTTCTGATTCATATAAAGATTTAGTGATTGATTGGATTTTGTGCGTAAAAACAAAAACACCGGTATTATTTGTTTATATTTTTGTTTCCCCAGTACTAACATCAAAGAAAAAAGTTTAATCCCGTTAAAACCGTCCAAACCACCGGCTATTTCGATTGAATTCCCAATGGTCTCGTTCCATTTTTTTCATGGGTAAGGTAGCTAAATATAATTCAGCAATTTTCAAGTGAATTATTACACCTAAGTACATGCATTGTTCTTTAATGTATTCACCTGTCGCAGGTAGGAACGTCCTCATTATCAGCCAACGGTTCATTAATACAAAAAGCGTAGGTACTCACCTGAGTTCAAGATTCTTCATAAAATTGTCCAAGTCAATTTTGTCCATGAGGACAAAATCGCCTACGCCGACTTCTCGTTGCATAGCCATGGTAGTTGATTTTTTCTGCTGTCGATTGTTTTTAATCACCAACACTGCACTTCATTTAATAAGATTCAATTTGGTGAGTCAACGCGATTTATTTATAAGCTTTTCGTAATCGTTGAACGTTCTATTATCTCAGAAATCACCACACGGACTGATTTGAAAATGAAAATAAACGAGTACACTGTATAACCGTGAAAATGATAACGGACTAAGTATAGACATACGTTTTAAATTGTTTTTGGTAGTTATTAATGCAACGCTTGACGGAATATTAAATGGCAAATGTTAAAAATAATCCCTGGAATTAATAGTTGTAATAAAGAAAGTAAATAATATTTTAGAACTGTTGCAGTTTTTTCTAATTTTATTTAATAACTACTGACAGTAATTAACTAATAAGTAAGTATTTACATAAGTCACTTTTTAATTATATCTATATATAAAAATAATTTAGTTTAGAAAACAAAAATGTATTCAAAATAACTAATACTTGAAATAGTTTTGGAGTATAAAACTATCGAAATAAGTGCTGGATTTTCAACTTGTTAAGCACACTTAAATTAAAACCATTCTCAAATCCTATCGTACATTTTATGGCGTCAGCAACCAATGGTACCAATGTAATACCAAAAACCTACATATTTTTCCACTTAATTTAAATATTTAAAGTCGTTAGAAGAGTTTTGTTGCCAAATAAAAATATTTATATATTTGCCAAAACAATATCAGATAAGCTGGATACATTCGGGAAACTGCCTTTTGTGGAATAATATAACCGTAAATATTTATTCACATGTGAATGAGAGCCATATTTACATACCTACATAATTATAGTCCGTCCAAACCTTTTTTTCGATGCGTCTTAGCTTTTCGAATTCTCTTTAATGCGTTAAGCTAGAAGTGATAGAAAAAAACGTGAGTTTGTGATTATTATACATAAAACTTAAAAAATTAGGTATCGTTCACGGGCATTCGCATATTAAAGCGAATTCTATTTACGGATGTATAATTGGTTAGAGTTTAGAATACGCTAAATAGATATCCAGTCAATGATGCACATAAATATAATTTGACGCAGATGGTCTCGATCGTGACAGTGACAGTACTTTCACAATGTCAACTGATAAAAGGATAATTGTCATTTCAGGTTAGTATTTTCAGACATTTTACCTACAGTGAAAATTAAATTTTGTATCTATTGTCATAAAATAATTTTAAATATTCCTATTTAAAGACTAATATTAAAATTATTAAATTATTTTCAATTAGAAAAAGAGGCTGGGACAACTTTATTGCCAGTTTCTGTCGTTCGCGAATCAGACTGTGAATTCAGGAATGATATTGAGGAAATATCTTAAATTAATACCGTTATGGATATTTATATATGTATTAAAACGGTTCTTTTTAGAACCACGACATTTTCTTGAAATGTAAGATATAATTGATACCAGCCACATATCTACTGTAATCATTGATTTTAATGAATCAGATTCTGAATCGGATTGTGGATTATTTGAAATATAATATTTATTTTTGTTATTTATAAAAAAGAAGGTAAACTTACAAGGTACCTTGTTTTTTAACTAAACTTCATTAACACTATTTCATCTGGATACCGGAACTAGTAGATTAAGTCAAAAATCAACTGCTTCACTATTTAAACTATTTCCACTATTTAATCATAAATCTTCACAAAATTAAACTTTTAGCTGTCACAGAAACTCCTGTGACAGCGGAAAATTACTTATGCAACTATGACTGATTTCAATCGATGTTATTTTATCACAGGAGTGTTTGCTTTGATGCCTTGCAATTGCCAGTAATTTTTTTTATCTCGCAGTCAACCCTTAAAAGATTCTAGGAGGAAACATAAACAAATCTTAGCTAATTAAGTACTTTCCTTGGAATGTATAGAATAGGAATTATGACAAGCTGCCGTTCCAACATAATGCGCAATAAAAATTTTTATACAGGACGGGACCTCTAATATGTAAATTAAATAAAAATTTGAATTGTTAATTGTTTTACTCCACTTTAAAAAAAATAACCTTTTCGCATTTACCCGATTACGATCCTGCAACTGCCAGATTTAACTAAAATGTCATGCAATAATTCTCGACATTCTTAAAATCCTATATGACGTCAAAATTAGTGACGCACTGATAGAAGGGTTTGGGACAGACTGTATGTATTTATCTCTTTAATGAAAAATAGGAATTAAACAAAAACGTGCAGACTTTACAACAAAATATTCTAGGTACAATATTGACGAAAATTAAAGATTTTTTAAGTATAATGGTCATCGTGATGTGGTATATTTTCCGTCTTCAAAGATCTTTGCCTCTGACCCTTTCTTTTAACTCATGCATAGATATTTTGCATATTCCTGTAATTTAGTCGATCCATCTTGTTGGGATCTTCCTCCTGATCTTCGGCCTTCTACCTTTCCTTGGATAATAAGTATTTCCATGTGTCTCTTTCCATTTATTCGGTGTCTGTTCGCATAACATGTTCTTCTTCTTTGAGTGCCTCTCCTATCGCAGATTGGATATCATTAGGGCGATTCTAATTTTATTTACTGCTGTTTTGAATAATTCGATAGTTTTACAGCCAAACCACTCTCTTAAATTTCTCATCCATGACATTCTTCTACGGGCTGGATTTCTGCGTCCTTGGATTTTTCCTTGCGTTATATTTTGTAGGAATATGTACTTTTGTCCTCTGATCAGGTGGCCTAAGTATTCAAGTTTTCTCTTTTTGATATTCAGTATAACTTCTGGATTGTTATTTATTCTGCGTATTACCTCTTCATTTGTAATTTTATCCACCCAACTTATTTTTAGTATGCGGCAGTAGCACCACATCTCAAAGCTTTCAAGCTTTTTAACATTCCTCTGTTTAAGAGTCCACGCCTCAACACCGTAAAGAAAGTGCTGAATACATAGCATTTTAACTTTCTAATTCGTAGATGAATACTAATATCATGATTTCAAAATATTTTTTTCATTTTTATAAAGTTAGACCTGGCAATTTTAATACGTCTTTTTATCTCGTGATTTTAGTCACCTGTTTCATTGATGAGGGTTCCCAAGTATTTGTATTCGCTTACTTTTTCGAGTTGGGTACCGTTTATTGCGATACTAGTATCATGTATTGGATTCTTACTGAAGGTCATATATTTGGTTTTTTTGACGTTCATCCTTATGCCGTAGTTATCAGGCCCGACCAGAGGGGGGGGCAGGGGGGGCAAAATACCCGGGGCCCAAAGGGGGCCCGGGCCCGGCCGTCGTGTCGTTAGCAAATTTAAAAAAATTCCTTTTATTAAAATATTTTACAACAGATTGAATTTGCTTGCGGTTTTAATTATTAAATTATTATAATGAATATTATGCATTTGGAAAAGGCAATATGCAAGAAATTATTTCTTCGTATAAGTTACAATTAATAAAAATATATCGGGAATACATTGCGCGTGGAGCCCCTGATCGGAAGCTTGCTCTATCGGCCACTGCCACACGATTCGCAGGCGCGACGTCTGTTTTGTTTACGAGTTTACGTCCTGACTCTCTAAAGGCCCGTTTTCACGCTACGTCTTATTGTACGTTTTGTGGGTCATATAAAACGTACGACAAAACGTACGTTTTGTCCAGTGTATACACACTACGTGTTTGGATTTCATTTCGATTCGACAAGACGTACGTTTTGCTGTTTACACGCCACGTTTTATTGTATAGGATTTGTCCTATCCAACAAAACGTACAATAAGACGTAGCGTGAAAACGGGCCTTAACATTCCCATTATACCCCCTTCGTCACAGGTTTCAATTGCAATTTTCGGCAGTTCGAGTTTAAATAGGACGTTGAACACAGCTTTGGTGTTATTCTGTTGTTTACTTTCGGTTTTTAGTAGCTGTTATGTGATTATTTAAAAAGATTCTGAAGATTATATGTGATTATATTGAGAATAACAAAATAAGGTAAGTTTTCACAACTAAAACTTTAAAACTATATGTAGTTATAATGGGCCTCCTAGTTCTAATCTTGTATTCTGGCAGAGATTATTCGTGAATTTCGCGAAGTGCTTTATTATCTGCCTAACATGTCTGTTATTTTATTTTATGTTCTCTCCAATGATTAAATGCTATAACATAAGTAAGATTATGTAATGAATTTATTTAATTACAAATATATATTAAGCATACTGTCCTGGATATGATATAGCTTCAATAGAAACTGTTGGCGAAAGACAGTTTTTAGGTGCAAATGGTCTTGTTTTTTGTAATTAAATTAATTCTAGATGTGGTTTGGATGAATTTTTTTCTGTGGGAAAAGGACAAATATAGGGCCTTTCTAACCTCTATCCTCTAACGGTTTTTTTTAATCAATTAGCTTACATAGGTTTTCATTTTTTTTTTTTAGAATTTAAAATGGAATACCGACACAAATCTGGGGCCGTAAAGAGGAAAGAAAAACATGAAAGAGAGGAGAAGGCAAAGAAAGGCCAACAGAAGCTGTCTGTTTTCTTAACACAGCCGAAAAATGTGTCAAATGAAGAGAAAGAAACTAACATTGAAAATGAGCCCTTAATCCTCCCGGGCACTTCAAATTCACAAACACCCTCCAACAGCTCAAATGTTGGTCGTGAGCTATCCTCACTTAGTAGTGATGAATTTTTAACTCCATTACACTTAGAAGAACGTGACGAACAGGATGAGGCAGTGTCAGCGTCTACGAACATTTTGAGCCAACCAGAAGTTTTTGATGTAGGCAATTTGAGTTTGTTACAACTTAGTACTAAACAAGTTGAAGTTGCTGTCACAAAGGGGCCACAAGCTCATCCCAACACGTTTCCTGCAGACTCAACGAGACGGCAATTTCCTTTATCTCTGCTTAAATTTAAACTACCCAATAATGAAGTTGTTCCAAGGGATTGGCTTGTTTGGAGCGAAGTGAAACAGGCTTTGTTTTGCTTTCCTTGTCGGTTGTTTTGTACTCAGACAGAGGTGGTGCGATCCAAATTCGCCTCAGTTAGTGGGTTTCCAAAAGAACATAAATGGAAAAAGTTGTACGAAAAGATTCCTGAGCACCAAAACAGCCTTAGCCATAAAGGATGTTACTTAAAATGGAAAGATCTGGAATTAAATCTTAACAAA